TGATGAGCAGAAGAGACTCCTGTAAAAAACATAAAAAATCATTCTAATCTCAAACTTTTGACCGGTAGTGTATGTGTGTGTGTATATATATATACACATAATAAATATACACAGTACACACACATATAGTATGTAAACATAACTTTTATTTTGAATCGATTAATCACGATTCATCGTTTTGCAACCCTACTCTTTATCGTTCAGCCAAACATGGTCAAGAGCGTTTCAGGAACAACACAAGATCAGCCCTTTTATCCGAACACACACACACACACACACACACACAAACAAAAGCATAACGTCCCTGATCTCGCAATCGTTTTTAATTTAAACATCCTTCAGTTGGAGTCCGTGTCGTCGTTAATGTACTCTTCCTCTACGAGCGTCACGCCCGGCTGCGTCCCCCACTCCTCGTCGTACTCGATGCTGTCGTTGTCCTCCAGAAGCTCGTTTTCAGGCTCCGCCCCTCCGGCGGCTCCACCCACATCAGCCCCGCCCTCTTCTTCCTCAAACTCCGCCCTCTCCTGCCCCGGCGCGACGTAGCCGTTGTTATTGGAGAATGCAGAGTGCTCGTGTCCGTCGTCCTCGATGTAGACGCGCTGGTGGCACATGGGACACGTGTCTTGAATATACAGCCATTTGCGTAAACACAGCGCGTGGAAGTAGTGGTGGCACGGCGTAATGCGCGCGGACGCGGCGAACTCCTGATAGCAGATCGCGCAAACGTCCTCGATCTCCCTCAGCCGCGTGCCTTTGACCTCCGGGAGCGAGTTGATCTTCTTGACGGCGGTGCGACGGTTGATAAACGTCTTCCAGCCGTTCCTCGCCTGCAGGTAGATGTTGAAATACGCGTGCAGGCACATCATGCACGCGCGGATTTTACTTCCCGACTCGAACATCATCGTATACGCGCCGTTTCCGAACATGATCACGCCGAAGACGAACTCGACGATGTTGCCGGTGGAGCGCACGTAGTAGACATAGTCGTCCAGCTTCTCCCAGAGCACGTTGTAGAAGCCGTCGATCATGAATAGAGCGTAGACGGTGAGCGAGACGAGGACTTTGAGACAGAGCTCCACGCAGAACGCGGTGACGGCGAAGAGCCACGTGTTTAGCACGTAGTGATGCCACAGAACATAGCTAAGCAGGACGGGGAGAGCGAAGAGGACTAGCGACACCAGCAGCACGGGAACATGCCTGCGCACTGAGGAGACGTGCGAGGCGCTTAGCGACATTAGCACCGGATCCGTCATTCCGTGGATGAAATGCAGAATCGCAGTTAGCAGAAGGCACATATTCCGGCTAAGCCGGATCAGTCGCTCTTCGGGATCCAGTCCGCTTA